AGTCCAGTAATGCGACTATAAACAAATTGTAAAGTCAGTTAAGAAGCTACTTCTCTTTGAGTGTTCCGTTACTTGTGGCGCTGGAGAACAAAGTCGAGAGATCGCGTGTGAGCAGGTGCTGATAGCAGAAGTAAAGCGGTACAACCCGCCGACGCCCTGCGCAGGGTTGCAGAAGCCGCCGTTTATCCAGCTGTGCAGCATGCAAGGTTTCGTTATGCGGTGCTAATTTTATTGAGCATAATTTTTTTCTTAAGCTACCTGTCAGCCAGAGAACGATCTGAGAGAGAGCATAGTGCCGAAAAAGCTTACTTCCAAAAGCAAGCCACGAAGCTTGACGTTGAGGGTTGGTGGAAAAGCGACACTCTACGAGGGTACAAACCTGAAAATCAAATGTCCAGTTGGCGTCAAACAAAAGTCCAAAATATTATGGAAGCTGAACGATATGCCAATCAATTTTACAAGTAAGAGCAGGTTAGAAAATGCTGGTTACGACAGGCTGCTTTGTAATGTCGTTTGCAATTGGCTGACTTGTAATTGGCCAAATTTACTATTTCCATTACTCGTTATTTGTGCCAGGTGTTTAAAGTAACTGGGAATACACATCAATATCAAAACAGGATAGTGACTCTAAATGAGCAAATCATGCTTAAAATGTGGAACTCAGTCAGACAGTCAGTTTCTGTGACCACTTAAAATTTCGAGTCACGTAGGGAGAGAGTTCCCCAAAGTTCCTGATCTTCTGACAACATTTCAGCTTCGGCGGAAGATAACCTCAGTCCGGAGGAGAGCTTTTTAAAGAAACTTGTCTGGTTATTCTTAACCGTACCTGGAATCTTCGGTCGCTTGTGCGAGCAGTCCTTGTTTCGTTTTCCTTTCCAGAAGCAGTCGCAAGTTGTGCTCAGGCCATCGCAGCGAATACAACACGATATATGCATGGGAATTATTATATATAAACCAATGATTCATCCAAATCCAAGTTTCAAGGCGAATAGCACACATTTATTAAGGAGATGTTCTTCAAAGTATCACTACTGAAGATATAGCTGTAGCCAACAACGTCACATTAGATTCGTTTACTCAACGTGAATGTTAAAATATAATGATGCCGTTACCTGCGTAAATGGCACCCTACGTATAAGGGAGCAAGCAACGAGGCTTTGCCATGCTCTTTTGTCGGCTTTATTCGCTTATCATCATATTTCTAATAATTAAAGGCTCTATAACGAAAAATGCCAAGGGATAGATGAAAATCAGAAATAGAAAAAGCGCTATAGCGAAAGTAGCAAGCAAGCTTTAACAGCTAGAAGTGAGAATTTCTTGCATAGAATATACCTCGGTAAAAAGAATACAGCTTTAAGCAATAAAGTCTGTTTAACTGTCATATCTTGATCCGTAATCGATCACATAAATTGTTAAGAAATTCCGCTTTGAAGAAGTTGAGTGCCTATTAACATAACGTGGCGTTTCAATACATAATTTCGATGGTTTGCTAAAAAGTACTTAATACAATTAATTGCATGTGTCAGTAATAGTTTGAAATTGCTATCCGTCGTGTTCCTGTTATGAAGGCTGAATATTCGTCAAACAGAATTACGGTCATTAAGTAATTGTAAAATTTGCAGAGCGCGTATCTGATACATTACCATACGTACATGAAGCAGTAGTTCATACCGCGACGTGGCTTTTATGTCTTCCACACGGAAGCTGAATCCCTGTAAGAAACGTCTAGGCAGATCTGCAGCCTTAGATGCGAAAGCTTTCCCTTTCTGTCAAACACTCCTGGAACTGAACAACTGAGGTGGTAAAGGTGTTCAAATGTGATAATTATGGAAAAATTATCGATTCTAACAATTTCGGCCTTTATTGCTGTTAACTTGGTCATCAAAATTTGTGTTCTGTTATTTTCATCTTCAGACACTCTCACTGCTGGTCGCTAAACGTTTTTAGCTAACCCCACTCCGGCATCTCAGAGTTTTGCATTTTCATATAAATTGTACTTGCATCTTGTACCAAATACCACGGTGTGTAGTCAGCTATCAGGCGCTTCAAGGCAAATCCAACAGTCGTAAACCACATGCATCCGGTGACATTACCGTAATTCTCACCAATTCTACTACGAACACTCCGGAACATCATTTTATTTCAATTGTTCGAATGTCAACGCACTGCTGTTTCTTGGTAGATCGCATGGAAGCCAGTATGGTCAAGTTGCTGCTTAAGTGAATTAGCAGGTAGAACAAATTTTTAGGGTTCGAACTCAGGATCATCAAATTTCCTAGCCGATCTCTAACCTATTTTGCCACCGCTCCTGGTTGGAAGTTACCAGGTTTTCAGTTGATGATTCACTGTAGCTCAATTTGTTTTCAAAAAACCGTCGAAATTCCCTGTCCACCAGCATCTCTGATGTACTGTATGGTTAGTTAACAGTCAAAAGCTGGAGTTTGTGTACGGTCGTTCCATCTTATCCCTCTCGATGTTTGAGGCTGTCCAATCAGTTTTCATTTGCTCATAAGAAATCAGCTGTTTCTAATTATACAGAAAAATCAGACTGGCTGCAGCGAGTAATGACGAAACCTGATAGTGTCACTATTTGCGTTTAAAATTACAGAAGAATTATACATTAATGACAGAACCATCACGAACAGAGCTGAACCATTCATCAGGGTTTAATAAAAAATCCTTGTTTCTAACTTCATGGAAATCTATCAAAAAGCGGAACAACATTAGCAAATTCCGAACTTTTGCTAATAATTCATCACTTCTGTGTGAATGCCATTCTGATTGATACAGTGATACCAAGTCTGCAAATGGCAGAAGTTGTGTAAGGTCCTTTCTCCAAGTTAAAGACCACCGGTCCGTAATACCACCTGGTCAGCATCGTTCATGATGCTGACCCTAGAAGCAATTATTAAGCAGAAAATCACTTTTCTCATCGATAGAAAAATCAATGCTCCCTCCTAAGCAACTTATGTTAGTACTTCTGCACCCGAAACATTATGCTCAACTCCAACTGGTTCATCGGCTCATAGGAAACGTTACATTAGTAACCCGCTCCACGGGCGTTGCAAACGTCAGTCCAACTAGCATTTGATCTTCAAAAATAAAATGGTGCCTTAGAAATTAACCTCACACACCTCCTAACATATCTCTATCCGTGTAGTGTACAAAGCGAAGAGCTGCTCCAGACGTACAGACCTGCTAGTAGTTATTGTTGTGATGAACCGCCCCCAGTCGCTGATAATATTTCCAGTGAACGTGTTGGTTTGGCTTGTCACACAAACTGTCATGATGAAGCCACAGGAAGGATCGCCAACAGACCAATCTACAATCAGATGACTGGACTATAATGGCACCTAGCAAGTCTGGCCTGGAAGTCTTTTCGGAAAGCCAGCTCTCTAGGCAATTGAACTGGAACATTTAAAAATTTTCATTGATTTGCTTATTTCGCAACCTCAAAAATGGTCACTTCTTAAAACAGGCTGATTAACAACAACGGAAAAATTTCAGAAAATGCAGAATCCGCTCACTGACCTTTCCCTCCATCTTGTCAGCTGTTCTTTTCCGGTTTGTTACTCAACAGCATTAATAGGTATTCGCAACGGCTCCAGTCCTCCACCAATTAGATACGCTCGATCTGTAACACTTAGATTCCTAGTTCTATGTCTATTTTCTGATTTGTTACATGAACATGTTACTTTGAACAGACCACTGAAACCATTCTATTCTTTCTTACTAATAATCTTGAGGAAAATTTTGACTGTCTGCTATCCGCCACTTAATATTTGCTGGTCAACAATGTGGTATTCATAAGCGGACATTCAAATGCGAATATGCCTGTTAGATGACGTTTAAGCCACCTGTATTGATCAGTCTTTTAAAAGCAACAAGTTTGTGAAATCAAAATCAATTTTCTTTGAAGACGCTCCGCCGAATAAGTTGCTTCTTTGCTGATGTCATGGATGCTTGGAGGTGCCTCAAGTACAAACTCAAAACGAGCATTAATCACCGTGTTTTTACCGCCTTGAACACTATCAGTGGCATTTATCTTGACATATAGTCTATATTCTTATGCCAACCGCCTGACCTATTCGTTTCTGCGCTGGAATAGCGATTTTCAATTTCCACCGTGTTCGTTTCGACATGTACAGTGAGGCGTATAATCGAAGGGACAAAAGCACTACCGCTCTACATTAAACAAACTTTGAGGCGTCCATGTTGTGGACAATGGGCAAGAATCAAAGTAAGGAATTCTGCACCAGAATGAAGTGCGGCGAAGTGTATTCTACCAACGTATGTACCATTATGCCAGAAGTTTTTTTTTCTCTAGCCGCTA